AGCTCGAGTGCTGGGAGCGCGAGGACGAGAACGTCAAGACGTACATGGGGACGGACATCGAGGGACCAGAGTGGCTTTCTGTGGTGCGGAGGCTTACCTGGGATCTCGACACCAACATCCTCATTGGCGACGAGCTGGGCGAGAGTATTCTGACCGACGAAGAGATATACGCCCCGCTGCCGGAAGGCACGAGCCATACGAGGACACGCCTATACTTCAAGCGACCTGGGGTTCAACAAGAACAGCATGCAGCACCACAACATCAGGATGCACCTCAGGAAGATCAACGACCTGATCCAGTCCCAGGCCCAGATGAAGATCAGATACCACCACCACCTCCACAATACGAGCCACAGGAAGGTGAGGTGGACGTCGGTAAAGTTAACGGTTATCTTCGAAGGCTGCATGTGAGGCTAGGGCATCGCAGCAACAAGACCCTCATCGACGTGCTCAAGCGGGCTGGCGCTCAAGGCCCTATCTTGAAATTAGCAGCTGAGTTCAGGTGCGAGGCGTGCGAGCGGCACAAGAACAAGCCGATGGAGTCCGTGGTTGCGCCATACAGCCCGGCCACACCAGGGAAGGCTATCGAGACGGACGGCTTCTACTGGACGGACCCTCGCGACAAGCAGACCTGGACCGGGACCTACATCGTCGATACAGGCACTCGGCTCAGTGGCGGGAAGCTCAACCTCAAGGGCCGACTCATGAGGTCAGGCGAGGAGTTCCGCAAGACGCTGCAGCAGACGTGGATGCAGTACTACGGTCGACCTGCTCTACTACGCCTGGACGGTGAAGGCTGCCATGTCGAGAAGAGAGTCAAGGAATGGTTATCGTCGCGCGGCATCATGGTGGATGTCACCGCTCGGCAGGCTCACAACCAGCTAGCGCTATGTGAGAGGAATATCGGCATCTTAAAGGACACCATGACCAAGATCGCCGAGGAGTCCGACGCCAAGGTTACTGCGGACGAGATTTTCTGGGAGGCGATCGCCGCCATGAACGATCTCGGCAGGTACAAAGGCCACAGCCCCTACGAGATGATGTTGGGCAGGACCCCTGAGCCGATCGTGGGCGACGTGTTCGGCGAAGATCACAACATGCCGATCCTCAGCAAGACCTACGAGGCCGACGACGACGAGTACATCAAAAACCAGAGGGTGCGACTCGAGGCGAGGAAGGCCTTCCTCGAGGTTACTTCTAGACGACGTCTTGCCCTACTGGAGCTACGCAAGACCAGAGAGAAGACACACTGGACTACAGGGCAGCTTTGCTACTGGTGGTCCGAGAAGGCGAAGGGCAACGTCAAGATGCCTGGTGGAGTTTGGGCTGGCCCGGCGACAGTCATCGCCCAGGAGCCTGGCTCGGACGGCAATCCAGGGTCAGTCGTCTGGATAGAGCACCACGGCCGACTTCTACGAGCAGGACGTGGTCACCTTCGACCAGCTACCGAGACGGAGATCGAGATCCACAAACTTCTTCATGGAGAGGCAGTTCCTCTTAACATCACCGCTGCCATGCTGAAGGTCAAGGCTAGCGAATTCGAGGACCTGATCGGACAACGCCTTCCAGATCTCGACGATGAAGATGACGCGTGGGTAATGGAGCCAGAGGATCCCTTTCCGCAGAAGGCGGGAGATGGGCAGCCAGCTGCTGCCGAGACTCAGGCGACTGAGGCCCCTACGACATCGGAGCCTACAGGGGCAGCCGAGACCAAGGAGGAGGATACGAAGTCCGAGGACAAAAAGTCAGAGAAGGAGGACGACCTTTCATCGGAAGATCTCGAAGCGCCAGAACCACCAGGCCAACTACCTGTAGACCTACCTGTACCTGGAGTTCGGCGACGTCAAGAAGCTGAAGAAGATGCCGCAGTCAAGAAGTCGCGCCAGACTACGAGAACTGGAACCAAGCGCGGGAGAGACCCGGATGAGTTCGGCAAGCGGATGACCGACGAACCCAACTCAGTTCAGAAGACCAGCGAAGACCAGGACGTCACCACCGAGCGCCAGGATGCCGTCTACCTGTCTATCGCGGTCCCCTCCCGAGACGCCATCAACCGCTTCGTGAAGGACCCCAGGCTGTACGTGGCTACACAGGCCAGGAGGCAGCGCATTGAGGTCAGCTACAAGAAGCTGGACGACAAGGACAAGGCGAAGTTCGACGTGGCTATGAAGAAAGAAGTTGATCAATTTCTACTCGCGCAGGCGTGCCGAGGTGTACTTCGGAGCAAGCTACCGGACGTCGACCTGATGAAAATGCGCTGGGTACTTACCTGGAAGGAGGATCCAGAAGCGGAAGGCGGCAAGAAGGCCAAGGCCAGACTGGTACTCATCGGCTACACCGACAAGGACCTCGAGACGCTTAAGACCGAATCGCCAACACCCTCGAGGCGTGCGCGCCAGATGCTATACCAGAAGGCGGCCAACGAGAATTGGCAGACGTGGCTTGCGGATGCTTCGTCAGCGTTCCTACAAGGGGAAGCTACAGAGGAAGAGCGAGAGCTTTATGCACTACCAGTACCACAACTACGAGAAGCACTACAGCTCAATGATGATGACGTTGTGCAGATTCTCAAGGCCTGTTATGGACTCACGAATGCACCAAGGCGGTGGTACGAGAAGGTCAAGAAGGATCTAGAGAGCAGAGGCTGGTATGCATGCAAGCTTGAGCCGTGTCTCTTCACCAAGCTGAACTCAGACAACAAGGTGATCGGGCTCATCCTGGTGCATGTGGATGACTTCCAGATTGCGGGTGATCTCACCAACGTGGAGTTCAACGTGGAGTACGAGCATCTCAAGACGCTATACCGATGGGGCATGTGGAAGTCAGATGAGGCTGGCTATTCAGTTTGTGGAGTTGAAGTTTCTAGAAATCCAGATGGAGGATTCAGGCTAAGTCAAGAAAAGTATGCTAAGACCATCCAGCCGATCAACGTCAAGAGAGGCCGAAAGGCTAGTCCGGACGACAAGCTGACAGCCGGAGAAGTGACTGCATGCCGTGCCATCCTTGGTCAAGCTCAGTGGCTTTCAACACAGACGATGCCTCAAATCGCTGTGCACGTTTCTATGCTACAAGCGGTTGTCAACAGTGCGACGGTCAAGGACCTCGGCAGGATCAACCAGCTGGTCAAGACTATTCATGAGTTTGCGAGCACAGGAGTTACCATACATCCTTATAAGCAGATGGCGTGGGTATGTTGGTTCGATGCATCGTGGTGTTCGAGAGCAGATGGGAGCAGTCAAGGAGGCTATGTTGTGTGCACTACCGAGGTGGAGGCGCTCAGCGGCAAGAAGCAGAAGTTCACAGTATTCACGGGAGCTTCCAAGAAGCTGACACGAAAGTGCCGTTCATCGTTGGGTGCAGAAATCCAAGCAGCAAGTGAGGCCGCTGAGGAGCTGGAGTATACACAGCTAGCTTGGATGGAGATGCTGAGTGCAGATGTGCAGCTCAAGGGCGACAAGCGCTACGACATGATCAAGAAGGGACCACGGAGTGTTCTCGTCACGGACTGCAAGAGCCTATATGATGCAGTTACTGGTTCGGAGAGTTCAGCACTGGGTCTCAGCGACAAGCGCGCCGCTATTGAGTGCATGGCATTCAAGCAAGGAGTTCAAGAGTGTGGTGCCGAACTTCGTTGGGTTCATTCTCATGCGCAGGTAGCAGATGGTTGCACGAAGATAAAGTACGAGGCGCAGAAGCTTTTAGATGTTTTCATGTGCAGGAGCTACTGGACGCTGGTTCATGACCCGGAGTTCGAGTCTGCGAGGAAACGAGGTCTGAGGGGACTCGATATTCTCGCCGAGAAGCCGACACTCGCCGAGGAACCACAAGTTCATTCGGAAGAGTGAGTTCTGCCAGGTGGTTTCTTTTCCATATCGCTCGCCTTGGCGAGGTTTGTGATTTGATTTAGACAAGCTCTGTGACAATGTAGCTTTATATATCTGCCCGCTCCGCGGGGATTTCATTTTATTTTACATATCTGACCGCTACGCGGGGATTTCATTTCATCTTATATATCTGTCCGCTTCGCGGAGATTTTATTTCATGTTTCAGATTTGCTCGCCTGGCGAGATGTATGCGAGAGTAGCACCGCTACCAGAGATGATTTTTTTCCAGGATCGAAGGCCAAAAGGTTTTCCCCCTGTGTGTTTTGTACTGTGCAGTTGGCCTTCCGATCCGAGACGCCCCGAGACCGAGCGACTGCTACTGCTGCTGTTTCGGTCCGAGGGCGCCCTTGAGTCCCGGTAAGGCTACCGGGCACGGCCGACCGGCCACCCACTCACCAAGTGAGTGACTGTATCAGCCCACCAGGGGCTATCGAGATATCTGATAGATTGTTGTGTCGCTGGCGCGAGCTGTGGAGGAAAAGATTATCAAGATAATCATTTACGAGAAGATCGACAGCAGGCTGACGCCAGTGCCGACGATTTAGTAGGGGAGGGGGGGGGTTTTGCGGGAGGGAGGGGGGGGGGGGGGAGGGGTTCCAGCAGGGGGGGGGGATTTTCGGAGGGGGGGGGGGGAGACCCCCGGGTTCCGGAGGAAAAGGTTGGCAATTTTCCACAGTAAAGCGGCGGTGGATCACGCTCTCTCCAAACATAGGGATAGGGATATGTTCCAGGCTGGTAAGATCGGCCAGCGAGCCAGAGCTGGAGATCGCGAGCTTGAATCGCTCAACGGGATTAGCCAGCCGCGTGCTCAGTCTGACCCGCCTGCCGTGCAGTGGATAGACAACTGCGCGACAGCATCGTCGTGGGCGGTGTGAATCAAGCGTGCACCACGCCGATGGAGCTCAAAACCTGCGGAACACACGATGAAGATGCGCATCCCACAGACCCCAGCCCGAGGAATACTCGCGCACGTGGATTCCAGCCCGAACACGCACACACGCACACACAGACGCCCCAACACACACACACACACACACACACTGAACGCCGTGGAAGCTGTGCTGACGCTCGATCGTCGGAGCGACGCCGCCGGCGCGCGCCCCCCCCCCGGGAGTCCTCCTCGATGCACGCGAGGTAGCGGTGGTGTTCCCGGATGACCTGAGGCCGCCACCGCGCCGGACGCTCCTCCTCCTCCTCCTCCTCCTCCTCCTCCTCCTCCTCCTCCTCCTCCTCCTCCTCCGTGCGAGGGGGGGGGGGACGCACGGCGCAGGCCGCCCGCACCCGAGAGCCAGGTCGGGCGTGTCCTCCTGCAGGCGGATTGTGGACGAAAACTTCAAAATAGTGCGCAAAAAAAGCGCCCAACGGTCAAAAATGGCGGAAACCAATCGTCCCCTGACTGCTCTCTGACTATTTTTTTATATTCCTCCTGCAGATTTGGTCGACCCAATCGGGGGTCCAGCTGAAAGGGGGTGGGGCAATTGTCTTGCAAATGCACTGCGCCAGAGAAATGCATTGCATTGTCTTGAGACGAGCGTTCTGCACGCCAAAATCCCGCAATACATCTTCGCCCTGGAGTGCATCGCACGCCCCGAGTGTACTGCAACCCCACAAACCTACTGCACCAATTCTACTCCTCCTCCTCCTCCTCCTCCTCCTCCTCCTCCTCCTCCTCCTCCTCCTCCTCATATATGTACATATGTGTATGTACAACTGTATGTGTATATATCGTCCACCCTCTCTATCATTGGTCACCCCCTCGAACCCTCTACCTCCCAATCCTTCGTTATAGAAAGACACGTGTCTATGTATATCCCTATCTCTCTAAATATATGCATATGTATGTATGAACATGTAGAAACTGTCCCCTCGATTGCTCGATCTCTCTCTCTATATATATATGTATGTAAGAGTACACATGTGTATGTTGTGTGCGTCTGTTTCTCTCTCCCTCGTTCTGCAGATAGTATCTGTACTTTTACATATGTAACTATATGCACACATTAGAACGACGCGCGTGCTACGCGCGCGATCAGGTTGTTGCCGACTGCGCAGTCGCTGTCAGTAGATCTTGCGCCAATCCACGAAGCCCAAGATACCAGCAGAGAGGCTCCACAGGCAAGGGCCGCCCTTGGCGCGCCGAAGTGCTGGCCCTCCTGCGGGACAGCTTCGGACTCGGTGGGCGCTCGCGGAGCCGTGCGAGATCGACGTGCGACGCGTCGAAATGCTGGGAAAGAGAGAGAACGGAGGGAGATGGCGAGAGAGAGAGGGAGAGAGGACTTTCTCGTTGCCGGCCCTCCCGTCTCCTCCTGTCTACGAGGTCCTCCTGTCTCCTCCCGCCTACTTCTCCTTCCTGTTTGCGATCCCCGTTCTCCGCCTTCCTGATGCTCTACTCCTGTTACCTGGGAGGAGGAGGAACAGGAAGAGGAGAAGGAAGAGGAGTCGAGAAAGCCGGAGGGGCGAGGAGGAGGGACAAGCAACGAACACTCCGAAGCATTCTTCGAGCTTTCATGGGCGCCTTGTTGGATTCGCTCGGGGCCTTACTGGGGTTTCAAGCTGCGCGCGCATGCGCACATGCGAACCCACTGGCGCGCGCAGCTTAATTATGCAACCACCGCTCCTTATGATATCGTGCCAATCCACATCCACCTCGACGCCATAACCAACACGTAGTTACACACGCGAAGACAGCGACAGAAGTTGACACCACACAAACACACACACACACACACAAACACACACACACACACACACACACACACACACAAACACACACACACACACACACACACGCGCGCGCGCACCCGCACTCGCACACACGCACCCGCACACACAAACACACACACAAACACACACACACACACACACACACACACAGACACACACACACACACACTCACACACACACACACAACTTTCACACAACACACACACACACACGAAAGCCTAAGCACACGCGCAAACGCCCCCACACGCACACACGCGCACACGCGCACACGCATACATGCACACGCGCGCTCGCCCAGAGACACACACACACACATGCACACACACACACACAGACACACACACACACACACACACACACACACGGGCACACCCACGCACAAGAGTACGCACGCACACACCTCTGCCAGGGATCGTGAGGTAGGGGCGTTTTGGACGCCTCTCGGTCCTCGCGGCGTGGTTCTAACAGGCCTCAGGAGGCCTCTGCGAGGCCTCTAGAAGGCCTCTCGTCGCATGTTTTAGGCCGCTCGGAAACTGTCTTGAGCCCTCTTAGGCCGTCTTGGCGCCCTCTTGGGGCGGGAATCATGGGCCGATCCTGGGGGCCTTTGGGGCCGTCTTGGGCTCTGTAAGAACCCTCCAGAAAAGCCCAAACTGATGTGCTGAAAAAGTGCGATTCCCACAGAGAATGGGACGGTGTGGGCCTCTGGAGGCCGTCTCGAGCGATCTCTCAGGAGCCTCTTGTGGCTCCCCAGGCGCCTCTGGGGTTGTCGCGGTGTCATCCGGGGCTGCCTTGGAGCTCTTGTGGGCGCTGATGGACCCTCGAGGGCCACTCGGAGGCTATCTTGGGCGGTCTTGGAAGACTCTCAGGCTTCCTGGGACCTCCGAGGGATCGTCCAGGGAGGTCCCTGGGGAGGGGGGGGGGGGGGCGAAATACAAGGGAGGTCCCAGCCCGGGGGCGCGGGGGCAAGATCTCGCATATATGCACATGCTGTTTCGCTCGACCTGTGTACGTACATGAATGTAGATGTGTGGATACATGTACGAACACATGTCTACCGCTAGATCTATATACGTATGCATATACACAAGCTGCACAGTCCATCCCGTCATGATAAGACGATTACGCATGCATGTGCTTCCCCCTGTCTATAAAGAACTCTGGTTTTTTCTCTGTCTCTTTCTCTCTCTCTCTCTCTCTCTCTCTCTCCCTCTTTCTCGCTTTTCATTGTTCTTTCGGTTTGTTTTACCTCTCTCTCTCTCTCTGTCTCTCTCATTCGTTCCCCTTGTATGCCTGCCGCCGTGCCCAGGCGGGGCACCGCACCTGGAGAGCGGCAGCGCCCGCTGGTGCGCCGCGTCCTGGTGCGAAGGTGGCACCCTCCCGGCCGCGCGGGCCCCTGAAGGTGGCAGCGGCGGCTCCAGCCTCCGAGGCAGCAGGAGGGAGAAGGAGGGAGGAGGAGGAGGGAGGAGGAGGGGGAGGGGGAGGAGGAGGGAGGAGGAGGAAGGGGGAGGAGGAGGAGGGAGGAGGAAGAGGGAGGAGGTGGAGGAGGAGGCAGGGGGAAGGAAGAGGGGGAGGCAGGGGGAAGGAAGAGGGGGAGGAGTACGCAGGAGGAGGAGGCAGGGTGGTGGAGAAGCGGGAGGAGGAGAGGGACCAGGAGGCAGGGGGAAGAGGAGGGGGAGGAGGAATGAACGTGCAGAGGTCGCCGCGACTTTCTGAGAGGCCGCCCAAGTGGGGTCGGAGTAGACGGGGTCGGTGGATCGCACCACAGCGCCGACGCATCGCCGATGCATCGGCGCTACATTCGCGACTTCGGCAGTGCATCGGCGATGCCAGCGTGGAGAAAATCGGGCTACACATCGAGCCGCCTCGCCGATGCATCGGCGATGCGGTGCGATCCACCGATCCAATATACGTCGGCCCCAATGGCGGCCTGCATTCATGGGCGACGTAGCAGGCGCGACAGGCTATACGCCAGAGTGGCCCTAGGAAAAAGTAGACTTTGGCACGCGGCTTCAAGGGGCCGCGGGAGGGGACCATGTTTATGTCGGGCGTGTCCCCCATACAAGGAGATTTTCGATGAAAAAAAAAAAACTCCAAAAATACCCCAAAGAGGTCAAAAAAATACACCAAAAATAGTCCCCAGATTATTTTCGGATTATCTTTTACCAATTTGGGGTATCTCTTTATTTGTCGTCGAGAATCCCGCTGTAGGGGGACAGGCCCGACTTAAGACCATGTCCAGGCACAACCGCCAGTGCTGGTGAGGCGCAGTGGGCCTGCAAGGGCAGGCCTGCGCTGGACCAAATCGCCACGTCGGACCAGATCGGAAACGGGTCGCGTCGCCAGCGCATCGTCCCGGTCCGGGACCAACCACTGACGAACCAGCGCACGTCGTAGCGAGAAACAAAAGAACAAAAAAAAAAAAAAAAAAAAAACTGACGACGCAAT